AAAAAAAAATTAATAATTAAAAAAAAACAACAACAACATTACATGTAGGTCTTTCTGCTCTACACTGACATTAATCATCACGCATGGAGAGAAATTTAACATTAATGAAAATTCTTTTTTAATATTTGCAAACCAAACTGACACTATTTAGGTATTAAAAACTGAAGGTGTCTCCATATCTTCAAGATACCATGCTGCAAAATGGTCATCCATATGTGATTAGACTCTTCCTTCTTTAGGGAAAGGAGCTCCATCGGTGTAGTGGTTAAAGCATTTGGCTGCTAACCCAAGGTCAGTGGTAAGAACCCATCAGCCACTCCACAGAAGAAAAACGAGGCAGTCTACCTCCAGAAAGATCTACAGTCTTGGAAACACAATGGGGGTTGCTATGAGTTGGAATCAACTCAGTGGCAGTGTGTTTTTCTGTCTGGAACTACACTACGCACTGCTGATTGGTGCTGTTGTTGTTGGGTGCCGTTGAGCTGATCCCAACTCATAGTGACCCACATGATATGGGTAGAACTGCCTTAGCGGGTTCTTTAGGCTGTGATCCTTGCGAGAGCAGATTATCCACAAGCAGGCTTGGTAGATTCGAACTGCCAACCTTTGGGTGAGCAGGCAAGTGCTCAATGACTGAACCACCAGGGCTCCGTTCACAATTGATTAAATAGGGCAAAATGCAAAAGTGTGAAACACGCTCTCATTAATCTACATGTAACCTTTGTCAAAGCCCATGAACTTACAAGGCTTTTTTCAAAAATTTAAATATCAATTAGATTTACACATACCCTTTACAATCACTGTACATTCTATTAACTCTGTCCCATTTTGCATTCAACTGAGTAAGCGTCTCTCCAATCCGAATAGCTTCAGGCCCAGAGGCTTCAAGGATAATGTCTGGTTGCTTCTCATGAATGACTGCAATCTGCTCTCCAAGTCTGTCCAGCTGGTCTTTGATATTCTACAAATACATTATCAAATATTAACAAAATCCAGTACAGTAATAAAAAACAATGAACTCTCAGATGAACAAGAATTTATATTGCAGAAGAATAATTTAAAATAATAAAATGGTATAGTAATTGTTACAAATCAAAACTGGAAACGTTTTTTTATTATAATAATGCCCTGTGTAAAGGTGCTCTGATGGCATAGTGGGTAAGCTGTTTGGCTGCTAACCAGAGGTCAGCAGCTCCAACCTAACAGTTGCTCCACAGGAAGAAGATGGGGCAATCTGCGTCCATAAAGATTTACAGCCTTGGAAATCCAATGGTGGTTGCTGTAAGTCAGAATCAATTCAATGGCAGGGGGTTTAGTTTGGCTTTTGGTGTTAGCTGAAGTATAAGGAATGTAAAATAATATCCTAATGTCAGGTAAAAAAAAAAAAAAACTCACAGACGTTTAAGGTGGCAGTTGTACATGTCATACAAAAAGCTTCAAACACATTCTGTAAAGGTAATGAAATGTTTGAAGCTGAAATTATTTATATTTGCAAATCCTAATAATCGTAGTTTAAATAACAGAAATAAGCTATCAAACTTTGCAAATCAATCAGTGATTTTGTTGTGATTTTATACATAAATGCGATTAAATTACATGGAAAACCTTAAAGGGATTTAATAGTGTTATAAATTAACAACTTCCAAATCCCTACTTAACTTACACTCAATATGCCAATCCATACTCCAACAACTGGCCAATCTTAAATCATTATAGATGGCATAATAAATGCTGACATTATCTATCAAATGACAGTCAAGATTTTAAGACAAAGATACTGTTCGTGTATGTGTATGATAAAAATTTTCTGACTGCTACCAACTTAATAACTACATATATGTAAAAATCCATAGCCATTTTAAAACTGTAGGTTGTTGATATATTTCATTGGTGAACATAAGAAAAGTTTACTTATTCATATATGTTATGAGTTTCTTGGCACAAATTTTCAAAGTCATAGATCATCTAAGTAGGCAAAATACAAGTTCCTTGCTTTATTCCTCCCTCACTGCAGCCCCACAAATGCAGTGCTGGAGATGTACCTTCAGAGAATCTTCTTGGAAAGAGAAGTCTTCGTAGACAGCAGTGTTTAGCTCTGGAGTATTAAGTGATAACTCAACATCATCCATGGAGTGTAGAACTTTGTTAATTTCAACAAGGTAATCTGTGGGGAGAGGTAATGATCTAACTCCAGTAGCAAGTTGACCTGTTTTTCTCTGTTGAATAGGGATTGCCTATAAAAACACAATAATAACGCATACATCTTAAAATATTTGCCAGTGAATGATAGGAAATAGAAAAAACACATGATTATCTTATAGATGAAATCAATGCCAGGAACCAAAATCAGAATTTTTTTTTTTTTAATTTTGCATGTTTTAAATATGCTTTGTTATAGAAACCTTTAACAATCTCCATTCGAATTTTTATCTTCAGCCTGTTGTTAAACAAAATCTAAACACAATCACCTAATAAATGGGTTAATGCTTGAAAGGTTTTCTTTAAGACCTATCTCATCTATACCCATGTAGCATATGACAAAACCTAACAAGTCCTTTCCTGAGATGTTGAGGAAATGAAAATATTCCGCAAATCATAAAATTCTGTATGAAAAGAAAACTTTTGTTGATTATTTCACCCATTTTTTTAAACATCACAATTAAGTACTTCAGATCTTTCTGCTGAAAACACAAGTTAAACATATTCATAACACAGTACAAAATAACATAACATAATATAATATGTAGGAAGCTCTGCTACTGTAGTGCCTAAGGCACTTGACTGCTGATCAGAAGGCTGGCGGTTCAAACCCACCAGCCACTCCTTGGAAGGAAGGTTGGGCAATCTATTTCTGTAGTGATACAGTCTTGGAAACCCAAGGAGGGGTTGCTATGAGTCAGGTGTGACTCGATGGCACATAACAACACAACAACAATATAACGTGATCTACAAAAGGAGTATATCCAGGGAACTCAATACATAAGCTTACCACTTGAGAAAAAGTTTACAAAGGAACAAAGTCCTATATAACACAACAGGTCCTAAAGTGCCAAAGTCAGATCAATTCTACACTGGATGAACTATTATTTATTTGCCTAATTAGCATTTTCTGTATCCTCTAATTGGAGTTCTGGTGGCAGAATGCCTAAGACACTTGACTACTAACCAGAAGCTGGCGGTTCAAACCCACTCGCCACTCCTTGGAAGGCAGACTGGGCAATCTACTTCTGTAGAGATACTGCCTCAGAAACCAAAGGAGGAGTAGCTATGAGTTGGGGCCAACTTGATGGTAGTGAGTTAAATAATAAAGTGTTCCCTAAGGTGGGCCACTAGTCCTTAGAGTTCACGTCCTTTATTGTTGGGTGGCTACCATTTAATGTATCAAAGTGTCAAAGAAGATGCCTTAATTCATAGGTAGCTGTGACTTGGCCATTTACAAATATTTAAGAAAGCTCAGATCATAGGATATGCAAATGGGTAAATGGCCAAATTGCAATTACTCATGAATTAAGGCAGCGTGGTGGTGCAGTGGTTATGCTCTAACAGAAAGGCTGGCAGTTCAAACCCACCAGCAGCTCCACTGGAGAAAGATGAGGCAGTCTGCCTCTGCAAAGATTTCAGAAACTAAAAACTCACTGCATTGAGTCAGATCCAACTCACAGCGACCCCTCCTTGGGTTTCCAAGGTGGTATCACTATGGAAGTAGATTGCCCTATCTTCCTTCCAAGGAGTGGCCATGAGTTTGAACCACCAGCCCTCTGGTTAGCATCAAATGCCTTAGGCACTATATCACCCAGCCTTGAAAACTCTACAGAATAGCTCTACTCTGTCCTACAGGGTCACTATGAGTCAGAATCAACCAGACAGCAGTGGGGTCCTTGACACTTCTGCTTCTCTCCTGTATTAAGCTTCTAAAAACTAATACTCCTTGGTAAATTCAAAAATGTTCATGAAAATGACCATATATTCATTGAATTTAAGTAGTTATCCTGAAAATGATTACATTCCCTCAATAAAACCAAGACTTAAGATTAAAATTATCAAATCACTAAGGAAAAGGAAGGCACAGAGAGGTGCACAAGAGGTACACACAATAAAGGCAAATACAACCACATATACAATACTGTATTCTCAGTAACAGCAAACACTAATCTATAGGTGGATACCAGGTAGACAGGTAAGAAGATCAGGTATGGATAGGCAAATCGGAGTATACCTACAACCAGACATAGGTCTGGCAGATGATATTCCTACACATGCATTTGTATGTGCTATAAAAATGTCCATATGCACTTTAAACCTAACAAGAGGCAAAGTTAGGATAACTTCTTAGCCACAAATAAGCACCTGGAGGGAGTAGGTCACTAGACCTGCAGGCTGGGGACCATGGTCACAGGGGATATCCAGCTCAATTGCTACAACAAGGTATGCAAAAATATTGTTCTATATCTTACTTCAGTGAGTAGCAACTGGGGTCTTAAAAGCTTGTAAGCAGCCATCTAAGAGGCAGTATCTCCTCACCTGGAGCAAAGAAGAATGAAGAACATCAAAGACACATGGAAAAAATCAGTCTGAAGGGCTAACAGACCATGAGAAACTCAGCCTATATGACCCTGACACCAGAAAACTAGATGGTGCCTGGCTGCCAATGCCAACCACTCAGAAAGGGATCAAAATTGGATCCTAGATAGGGTGGGGAAAAAATGTGGAACAAAAATCAAAATCATAAAAAAAAAGACCAGGGTTACTCATCTGCCAGGTTTGTGAAACCCCTGAGACTATGGCCCTGAGTCACCGTATAGGCCTAGAATTAAATTCATTCCTGTGGTTTAACTTTCAGCCAAACAACAGACAGGCCTACGAGCTGAACACCTACATCAGAGAGATGCACTCCTTAGAACAATCTACCATGAGAGATCAGAAGGGCAGCATTTGCACAGGGAGAACGCTAGGGAGGCAGGAATGCACAGGCAAGGACACAGGGAAAGGGTAGCCACAGGGAGGAAATGGCCGGAGAGCTGTTACACTGTGGAGCATGTAACCAATGTCATGAAACAAAACGTGTATAAACTGTTGAATATCAAATGAATCTGCTTTATAAAATTTCACCCAAATCATAATAAAAAGGGTTTTTCTGTTTTTTTTTTTAAAAAGGTGTTGAACCCAGAAGTACTCATTATTTGCCTCCTAGAAGCTGATTACATTATATTATGGCTTTTACTGACTGACGGGGTGCTGGATAAGCCTGTTAGAAGAAAGCTTGCAGATTTCCTGACTTTATCCACAAGATTAATAATTTTTGTCCCTGATATAAGTTTTATTATCCCACACCACAAATTCAAATGTTAGCTAGGAAGTGTTTATAGGCATATAGCTTTGGTGGCGTAGTACCTAAGGTTAACCAGAAGGTTGGCAGTTCAAACCCACCAGCCACTCCGTGGAAGGAAGACTGGACAATCTATTTCCGTAAAGATTTACTGCCTCATATACCCAATGGGGGTTGCTGTGAGTCAGAATAGACTCAATGGCAGTGAGTTTGGGTTTTGTTTTGTTTTTTTTAATCCGTATGTGTAAGGAAAATTACTTTTTTTTAGGCAAATACAAAAGGATGCTGAACTCAATAATTTACATACCCAGGAATTAGTTTTGATTAAAAATATAAGAAATATTTTTAATAAAGAGAAAGTTAAAAAGGCTTCTTTCAGATTTTACTTTTAAAGGGCCAACTTTATTTTGGAAGATTGCAAAATTAGACACATTTTCCTCCTCCTAGCTTCAAAGAAAAGAACCAGTGACAATATTTATAGGCTGACATGCTTGGCTTCTAAGCAAAAGGCTGCTGGTTCAAGTCCACCCAGAGGCATCTTGAAAGAAAGGCCTGGCAATCTATTTCCAAAAAATCAGCCAATGGGAACACTAGGGAGAGGGGAGTTCCAGGAAGATGACTGAACAGGCAGACAAGCTACACAGACCCTCTGCAACAAAGCAATGAGAAAACAATTGAAAACAATATAGAACACAATCCTGGAACACTGAGCTTTGAAGGGAAAGATAAAGAAGTAGATTAAATACCAACTAGCAGAAAAACCTGCCAGAAACAGTACGTGAGGAGACAAATGGAGCAGCAGACTGCCAGCTGCCCTGGGGACACAGACATTTTGAATATCTGCTGAAAGCAACCTGAGAATCAGCTCGGCTCACCGAGGACTGCATGGACAAGAACTGCATTGGTACCTGACAACCAGAAAGGAAAACGGCGGGGAGGGAGACAAATGGAGCTGCGTACTGCCAGCGACTATCCTGAGGGGGCAGCCATTTTGAATGTTTGTGGGCAATGGGTGCGGCCATTTTGGCTGTATGCAAGTGGCCTTCTTACCTGGACAGCAACGTAAGAGTAGACTCCACTTGTCAAGGACAACATGGACAACCACACTGAAGTCTGATGACTGGAAATGTGCAATGTTCCCCTTGATGCTCTTACATACCAAACCATCGTGGTGAACACGTAGGGGTGCCTCCAGCCACATTCTTGACCGGCAGGATTCCATCCCAGTCTGTGCCCTGACAGAGCTGGGTACCATGTCCTGCCCCTCACAGTTTTCTTTTCGTCTGTTTGCTTTTAAATTATTCCCTTTATCTTCCTCCTTTCTTCCTATTTTTTCCCCTACTTTCCCCATTCCTGGTTCTTGGGGTTTGTTTTGCTTGTTTTCCTTTCTTTTTTTCCCTTTTCCATTTTCCCTTCTTTTTTCTTTTGGTTCTTCCCATCTCTCATTTTTCCTTTTGCAGTTTTCCCATTTTTTTCTTTACTATTCTTTTACTCTTGCTATTTTCTCTCATTCTTCACTCCAAAGATAATGTGGCTTTTTTGGTCTCTCTCTCTTTTTCTCATTATCTTTCTTTTTAATATATTTTGAAAAATTTTTTTTTTTTTGCAATTGTTCCTATTTGTTTATGCAGTTTGAGTTTTATGCTCTCTTTTTAGTTTTTTCATGATTTATTTTTTTTGGGGGGAAGTCTGAGTGGGAGACAACAACCATGCCCACACAATCCATCCATACCTGTACCTCCTACAGCCTCACCCACTGAGTGAAGGCCACCATTTTCTTTTTCACCAACTAACCAACAACAGACAGCAGTCAATACCAGCTCAACTCACCTCAACTGCTCTCTACAAACAGACATCTGTGTA